AATTTATGCTATCATATCTTATCATTACTCTGTTATCTCAATTAGCTCAGTATCTGCTTTATTAATAGACAAATCGGAATAAGTTCAATGTTGACCCGTCTCGTTTATTTATTCTTCGAAAGCTCAAAATGAATCAGCAAATCTGTCGGTAATAAATAAATGGTGACAAGCGGATCGTTAAATGTCGTAATAATTGTCACGTGCAATGTTAAGTGAAATCATACCTAGACGTTGTGGAATCGTAATTTCATATGCAGTCGGTTTTACGAAACGGCGCAGTGAAGTGAGAATTTAAGTGAAGTAAACGACTCATCAAATCGAACACGAGTAAGTTATGAGTACTTGATCATTATACATAAACGTTGTAGGATCGTAATTTAAATTCATTTGTAGTTTGCTTTTCGAAACGGCGCAGTGAATTGAATATTTAAATGAGGTAAACTCATCAAATTGAACACAAGAAAGTTATAGGTAAATGTATCGATGATTATCGAGTTTTGTTCTCTTGTGTAACTGATATACATTTGGACTCTATTGATGAGAATTTTAAATTAAAAGCTGACATAAATTACGTTGATTCAGCATTTAAATAAAGTATCAAACTTCGTAAATTAGAAATGTTGTACGGTACGTTAGCGACATTTTGATGGCTCTGCGACTTGAGACCAGTTTTTGATGTCTCCAGCATTTTTCAATTACATACTGTTTTAATAAAAAAGTAAAAATTAGCGTAAATATTTGCCAGAAAGCATACAAAATAATGGCAAAATAGAATAATAAACGTTCAAGAAAAATAAAATATTTCGTTATGTGATGTGACATATCGTCGGCTATTAGTAACATTGAAAACACATACGAGACAATTTTAGTATTTAAAACAATAATAAAAGGTAATGTATCTAACAGAAAGTAACAATAGGAAACATACAATAATTTTAATTTGATGCGGATATGTAGAAGTAATGTTCACTTTTTAATAACACAATTATTTCATCGCAAGTATACAATCATATTTTACACTTCATCTAAGCATATGACTGCATATTTACTTCAACAACTTATTATGTACAAGTGAAGAGAAAATCAATCTTAATAGCACGTTTCATCTCGTTGTTTTTATTTTTGTAACGTCAAATATTCATTTTAACATGTCAGAGTAATACAATTTTGAGAGAGAAATATTCTAAATTTCGTTAATTCTGTTGCTGTCTCAGAATCGCACCGCGCCGCGTATACGCGACCTTTCGATGTCTCGACACGTGTTCGTGACTCGCCGATGCAGTTCGTCACCGAATGTCCGATCAGGTCTCTTGTCGCGGCACTCTAGTCTGAATCGCTGCCCGTATCGCGCTTCGACGCTCGTTCTCAAGCACAGAACGTAACGAGTCGGGTTCTCGCGTTTGTGTTCCTTAGCGTTCAGAACGCGCGGCACTCGTCTCGGAGAACTCGGTCTCCTAGGAGGAATCGTACTCGCAATTGTCTATCGAAAGTAGTCAGCACGCGTGCACACTCGGATCCTCCCGTTGAGGTCGAAACGATTGATCTCGTGCTTCCGAAGGATCGTCATATATATAGGGTGTGTTCCTTTTGGATGCTCATGCGCTGTAAGCGCTCACACTTTATAAGCGCTATTTCTGCCGTTCTTTTTGAAATTTAAGCGCTCATACGACTGTCAGCAAAGCCGTTCCCTTTGGCATTTGTGAGTGACTGTGAGCGTATCGAGATGGCAATTGAAAGTGATATGATTATGTTTTATATAAT